AAGGGAGAGCCCAACTCAGAGGAACCCGGCTAAAGGGAGACCATCATGCGACACAAGCAGGGTACTGTACAGGGTAGAGTGGTAAGAGAGTAGCGACGTCTGAAGTAGGCTGAGCTGATCGTGATGAAGTCCATGAAGCCGCCGATGACATCCACGATGAGAAGTCCAGAATGCCGTCGAGGAAGAGCCGCAACGTCGACGAGCTGAAGAAGCAAAACTGATGTGGATGGAGTACTGAGAAGTCAAAGACGTGGGAAGGTAAGTCAGAGTCAATCGTCGTATTGAGCAGGACGACGACGAGTGCACTGTGGACGCTCAGAGACATTCGGCTGCTGCTGAAGGTCTGCCTCAGATGGAGCAGGCACGACTTCAACTGTCTCCTCAGCCGGAGGAGAAGGAGGAGGGTCAGTGGGCTGAGGAGGAGCAGTGAACCCAGCACGACGAGCACGGTCATAGGCACGCACCAACGTGCGAGCGTGTTGCAAGTGCTCGAGGGGCTCCCAGGTAGCCTCCTCATCAGGGTAACCCTTCCAACGTACGAGATACTCGACGTGGGGAGGGTTGTCATCGGTGACTCGGCGACCAATGGTGTCTGAAACGAGGAACTCCTCGTGGCCGTCCACCATGATGGGTGGAGGGCGCTCGTATGGTCGTCCAGCGAAACGCTCAGACGGTCTGCCGTAAGGACGCAGTAACGAGACGTGGTAGACATCATGTACACGAGCCTGGCGTAGGTAGTCGGGCAGCTTCACACGAAAGCTGACCGGGCTAGATGTCGTATCAGAACCGACGGCCTGGAGGATGCGGCATGGGCCAAAGAAGCGACGCCGAAACTTGCGAAGCGTGTCCGCTTTGAGCTGTAAGTGGTGGGCGTCGATACGCACATCATCACCGACCTTGAATGGGTGATCCATCCTCGATCGGTTCGCACGTGCTACCATGCGAGTCTGGGAAGCGGCTATGTGCTCATGTGTGGTCTTCATAATCGACGTCATGTGTGCAACCCAATCATCCAGCGCGGGACAACTCGTGTCGGGGTGCATCTGGGACGGTCGAAGGAAGTCCGCGGGAACACGCGGGTGATAGCCGAGGTCGCAATAGTAAGGCGACATCCCCGTGGCTGGCGAGACGGCGTGGTTGTAGGCTATCTCCGCGTGGGCAAGATGGAGATCCCACTGCTGGTCGTCACGAACAATCTTTCGGAGAATATCCCCGAGAGTCCTGTTCGTGATCTCGGTCAACCCATCAGTCTGAGGATAGTAAGACGAAGAGAAGCGGAGCTGAGTGCCGTACACCTCATGGAGCCGTCGCCAGAATCGGCTGRTAAAGCGCGGGTCACGGTCAKATATGATGCTYAGAGGTAAGCCGTGGTCACGCACGACTCGGTCAAATACGATGTCGGCGACCTCACGTGCACTAATGGCATAGCGGCACGGAACAAAGCGTGCACGCTTCGTGAAGCGGTTGACGACGACCAGGATAGCATCATGACCGCGGGGGGTTGGAGGTCGAAGAGGACCGATAAAGTCCATCGAGATGGACTGCCAATGACCCTCAGGGATAGGAAGAGGCTGGAGCAAACCATAAGGTAGGTGGTTCGCACTGTTCACCTCCTGACAGGTGGGACACTCTGCGACGTAGTCCTTCACAAAGTCCTTGCGCTTCGGCCAGACGTACAGGCGGCTCACACGAGCCAACGTCTTGTGGAAGCCCATATGACCGGCAGCTGCCTGGTCATGGAACTCTACTACTGCTCGGACACGTAGCTGTCCAGTGGAGGGAACACGAATACGGGGCTCTCCTGTGCCCTGTGAACCGTGCCAGTACACAAGACCGTTGTCCCCGAGAGAGTAGTTCGGAACGGTCTTGCCACTCCGAAGGGTCGCGTGGATGTCGCGATAGTCGGGGCAGTGGTGGTACTGAGTGCGAAACTCGTCGATCACCGAGTGGTGGATGGTGTTGACCGAGATGGAAGAGAGCTGGATGTGCTCCTGGTCGTCGTCGGGGCGCCGGGATAGGGCATCGGCGACCCGATTAGTCTCACCCTTGATGTGCTCAGTGGTGAAACTAAACTCGGATAGGTCGCGCCACCTGCGAGCCTGTCGAGGAGTGAGCTTCGGCTTTGTCAGAAAAGCGTGGACAACAGAGTTGTCCGTGCGCACCGTGAATGGTGCCCCGTGCAGATAGTGACGCTAATGCCGAGCGGCATAAACTACTGAGAGAACCTCACATTCATCAGCAGTGTAGTTTATCTCGATGGGCAGGAGCTGACGGGAGTAGAAGGCTATCGGACAATCACCTGAGCGAGACTCGACACTGCAGTCCTCGGCGATGGTAGGAGAATAGTCAATAGAAGGCTCGTCAGTAGCTGGACGAGTAGGCGTCAGTCGGGAAGCAGTGGTAGGGGTAGGTGGTGGGAAGCGAGGGATACGAGGATGAGAGGAATCAGGAGATGAGGGGAA